ACAAAATGTGCCAATAGGTTACCCAAAATGTGAAATACATAAAGTGACATCATGTTGCTTAAAATAACAGAAATGAGTTTCTGCCATGTGATAGTAGTATAACTGTGGAATAGTAATTGGACAAATCGTTAAAGCATTACTGAAAAAGAAGAATGCTGTGTCAAATTTGAGTGCTCAGCAAATGCTCCTCCACATGTTGGGCATTGATAAGGCTTTTCACCTGTGCCTTCGAATGTTGCCTGTTAGGATCCAGACACCGCTGAAGCTTTTCCCACATAATCTGCACTTAAATGGTCGCATGTGTATTTGAAAATAGACTTTTAGCAGCAAAGGATAGTTGAAGGCCTTCCTACAAACTGTGCAATTGTAGCAGTTCGGAAACCTGTTGTTGTGGTTGAGAAGCTACTCCACTGCTCTCACGAAACTTTCTTGTTCGCATTCTTGGGTAGAGGCTTTTACCGTGCATGGGTTGTCTTTAATCATCATTTGTGGATTATCTGTAATCATTGCTTCATGTGGGACTAAAAACCAGTAGAAAAGTGTCTGTATTCAATTACAAAGTTAAGAAGCTCAATGTCCTTATTGCAGCGAAATGGGGATTCTGCCGGAAAAACAATGTGCTTAGCCGTTTATTCTTAAAAAATTCTTATAATTTTAAATATTTCAGCCTCAATATTCTTATAAAATACGTTCTTATAGAAAAAAGGAGTGTAGGTACTGTCTCTATTGAATTTGGGCATATTTTAGGTAAAACTGAGAAAGAAAATTTGCTTCTTTATTCGTCAGCGATCAATGAAACTAGCTGTTGCATAGTGAGCTGCTGCATGACTTGGTCCGTTGGCGGCTGCATGGGCTACTGCATGACTTGAATTAGCTGTTGCATGATTTGGTCCGCTGGGGGCTGCATGGGCTGCTGTATTAGCTGTTGCGTATTGTGCTGCTGCATTAGCTGTTGCATAGTGGGCTGTATGAATAATTGCTCCTCGGGTGGCTGTTTGGGCGGCTGCATGGGTGTGTCATTGGTAGGGGTTCGCATGTTTTTGCGCCATCTGCAACGCCAGTTTTTGAACCAAATCTGGGATTGAAAACAAAACGTTAATAAAGGAATCACACAAGACATAACTAACCTCTTCTAACAATGAAATGCACTGATAGGTTACCCAAAATGCGAAATACAAAAATAACATCATGTTGCTTAAAGTAGTAAAAATCAGTTTCTTCCATGTGATAGTAGTATAACTGTGCAATAGTAATTGTTAAATCGTTAAAGGATTTCAGAGGAGAAGACAAAGTAACCAGAAACTATTAAGAGTTGCATAGGCAACCAGTAAAAGAGATCGGGCACAAGAAAAAGACTTACTAAACTTTTTAAAACAATTAGGGAGGTGCGATGCCAGCACATAAAAGTTGGAGGTGTTGGCCATAGCATACTAAAGGGAGAAAAAATTGCATTTTTTAAAATTATTAATAACAAAAAGGTAACAGAAAATGATCAGAGGAATTGTCAAAGGTACAGAAATTATTATATATGGTTATATATACTGATTGTGGAACATGATCCTGGAGGCCTGGAACTGTTCTTCAGAGGAGTTAAATAAATGCAAGGCCATGTTGTCAAAGAATGGTAAGAAAGGAGTGTGCGTAAATGTCAGGGATAATCTAAAGGGATGCATTGGCATGTTTGTGACATCTGTGGAAGGCTTATTGTTTAAGCTTTTCCGTCACCTGGCTTGCTGTTTTCTGAACCAACTTTGTTAATATGTTCACAATTTTGTTTTTTGTTTTTGGACGACCGTTAGGTTGCATGTAAGGGCTGATATTTGGAAGGGATGATCTGAAGGGATGCATGGGCGGATGTATCGGTGTGTTTGGGACATCTGTGGAAGGCATATTTTGTAGGCTTTTCTGCCCCCTGGCATGCCAGTTTTGGAAACAAACCTGGGATTGAAACTAAAACCTTGGTAAAGGAATCACACGAGACATAACCAAACAAGTCGCACAAATTCAGTCTTGTTGCGAGGACAAAATTTTTACAAAAATGGGCTATTACAGATGGAGTGATTTGTTGCTGTGACATTTCGCCGCAACGTGTTGCTGCAACTTGTTGCCTAGTGTGAACTTCTTGCGCTGAAAAACTATTCTTAAAGGGTGTAAAAAAATGAGTATGTTAATGAAAAGCACTGGCCAAGGTATGTGCAACTGAAGATTCATCGGCTATGTACTGATCCTGGAACATGATCCTGGAGGCCTGAAGCTGTTCTTTGGAGGAGTTTAATGAATGCGAGGCCATTTTTGTCAAAAGAGTGGTAAGAAAGGACAGTGGGTAAATGTCAGTGAGGACCTCAAGGGATGCCACTGGGTGTTTGTGATGTCCGTGGAAGGCATGTTGTTTAAGCTTTTCTGCCAGTTTTGGAACCAAATCTAGGAGTGAAACTTGAACGTTAGTAATCGAATCACAGAAGATGTAACCAACCTCTTCTAACAACAAAATGTGCTAATA